TCTGAAGACAGAAGGCCCTTTTTAAAAAATGTCACAGTGAGTGCAATATGACTATGACTTCAGTGGTGGTTATGAGTTTAGTCTGCTTCTTGTCATTTTAGAATCAAAATAGATAATGCACCACTAATAGATTCTAGAGGCTGCCAGCAATCTAGCTTTGGAGGGGAAAAAATCCAACTAAATGCCTGTCAACATTGCCAAGCTCATTTTTTAAAAATACATTAAATATCATTACAGACAGCAATATTTTTGTATCTATAAAGCATCTGAGTATCTGCAAAGTGAAGTCATGGAAATATTTTATCAGTTCTACACTAATAAGCATTATTGACCGAGTATAGGGAATTTACCTTTTGCTTTGATAAGTCTCCAGATAAACATCATTTACAGTATAAGAACTACCAGGCAATCAATAAATATGAAGTTGCTAGCTATGACAGGGGATTCAGACATCTTCAGACACTTATGTGATGAAATGGCACTTGCTTAGCAATCAAATTTCATCATGTGTTCCTGTAGAAAATGCAACATGATTTGCTGTCCACACTTGTTAGTGTCCTTCATCAGTGTTTTAATTTGACATGTTCTGTGAAATTTGCTTATATTATTTCTTTATTTATTTGCATTCCACTTTTATTATTTTTACAAATAATTCGTGGCGGCAAATATATCCAATACATCTTCCTCCAGTTTTTCCCGTAACAATCCTATGAGGTGGGTTGGGCTGAAACAGAGTGACTGGCCCAAGGTCACTAAACTGGATTGTATGCCTAAAATCCTAGAAATAGAACTCACTCACTTTGTAGGCTGGTGACTTAATCACTAGATTAAACCGACTAGTGTGGTGCTTTGCAACCTTAGCAACTTTAAGATGTGTGGACTTCAATTCCCAAAATTCCCCAGCCAGCACGTTGAAAAATACTAATGTAGGATATTATTTATCACAGGATGATAAAAATCAATTCTTATATTCAGAGGTTAAATTAGCTTTCCCAACCTTTCATTTATTACAAGTTCAAATGTCAGAATTGGGAGTTGAACATCCTGGCTAGGACTTCTGTGAACAGGCTCAAGCATTCTGAACGTTACTAGGGTTGCTTACTTATACTGTACTACTGTAGCATAGTAATTCTTGTGTTTGTTTTAAAGTAATAAATACACTATATAATACTAACAAGTTTCTTTCTGTACATATTAATCTACTTCTTCACATATCTTTCTCCACATGCACACTTAAATTATTATTCTAAACTTTTCTGTGCGGTGCATTTCTCCAGGGAACAGGTAGTGTACAAGCATAAGATTAGTATTCTTTTAGCAAGGCTACTTTCTATATATCCTGTATGGTGGTTCAATAATATTGTGTTCATGATGGATTGAGATTATTATTGTCTGTAAAACCCCTAAACTATTGAGTTATTAGCTGTCAGAATAATTACATATGCAGTATAAATGGCGTGTGCTTGATTGTAGGATTACGCCCCCTTTTCCCCCCTCTTCTTTCACTTGGGAGACCCATATGTGCATATGTGTTTTAAGTTCATCACAAAGATAAGATCAACACTGGGAACAGACTTTATGCAGCTGTTGCATTTATTCAGTGCAGTCCTCATCAGCTCCCTGTCTGCAGAGATTATGGGTTTATACTCCTACACTATTCCTTGGATAATGACATAAACTCTAAGTGTAAATGTAGATTATCTAATTTTAGTCAAGGAGCAGTAAATTATTCTTCAGAAAATGCAGTATATTGGCTTTCTTTCAGGAGCAAACGAAGCAATAGGATATGTACATTTTAGACAAATCATTGTTCGAGATGAACAATTACTATTTAAATAGCAAATCTGTGAACACCTAGAAGCAAGCAAAGTTATAACCAGAAGCCAACAAGGATTTCTCAAAAACAGATACCAGACAAATCTTACTGCATTCTTTGACAAAGTGACAAAATTAGTGGACTAGCTAAATGCTGTGGATATAATTTACTTGGACTTCAGTAAGGCATTTGACAAAATAGACTACAACCTACTACTTGATAACATAGAAAAATGTGGGTTAGATAGCATCAGTACCAGATGGATTCTGAATTGGCTGACCAATCACATTTGACATGTAGTCCTTAATAGATTTGCATCTACATGGAAGGAAGCATGCAGTTGAGTGCCCCAAGGCTCTCTCTTGAACCCAGTACTCTTCAATGTCTTCATTGATGATTTAGACAAGGGGATAGAAGGAGAACGCATCAAATTTTCAGAAGACACCAAATTGGCAGGAAGAGCCAACAGTCCAGTGAATAGGCTCAAGATAGACAAGGATCCTGACAGAATTGAATACTGTGCCCTATCTAACAAAATGAAGTTAAATGTTGAGAAAAGCAAGGTTCTACATTTAAGAAAGAAAAACCACATGTATAAGTATAGAATAGGCAGTACCTGCCTCAACAGAAATAACTCTGCATTGATAACTGGACTATATTATTTCTCTATGGCACTGTAGTTAAATTCTGAGAATTGGCTTGTTTTTCTTGTAGTCAAAATATTTTATACTGAAATTGTATTAGACTAGAAATCTGCACAGTAAAAAATCTCAGATAGTGATTAAGATGTCTAAAAGAATCTTATCCATATATTGACAGGTGCTGAAATTATGTGCTTTGTATGAAAGATACATAATGATCCCAATTTAACCCAAGAAAACCAGCATCCTCCACCCCCTCCATTCTCTCTGATGTTCTCTTTGCAATGTGATTGGCAAAAAAGCTCTTCTATGTCTGATCAATAACCATAGACGTCCAATATGACATTTATTACAATACAAAGTTACTACAATTTTCATTACTCAATAATTCCCTTTTTTCATCAAAGTGGATACTATACAAGACTCACCTTGAAAGTTAATATTTTATTTAAGACTTTAACAGGCATATGCATACCACAAAAGAACATTATTTTCCTTTGCTTAAAATACAGATTTTTGCTTATATTATTTTTGGAAGAAAATAAAAGTACGGCAATAGTAGGAAAAAGTGACTATTTGGCCCATAAGGTTATTTTCTTTGTTCATTGAAGCTGTGCACTGGATGATATGAACATTGCATGTTGCTACAATCTTCATTGATGGTGTAGAAAGTCAATAGAACAAATGTTAAAATTACTGATGTCCTCAAGACATCAAGTGATTTGCTTTGAAGAAATGACCTCAGGTCATGAAGCTGGAGGCCGGATATACTGCAAAGAAACAAAGCTTTTGCGATGTCTGGAGAGACTTAGTTAAGTCCACTATGAGATTAAAAAACCACGTCAATGAAATTGACAGCATAGGCTGGCTCTGCTGTTTTGATTTGGTAGAACACAAAACCTTTCTTTGACTCCTCACAATAAGCCTTATTCCATGTGTATTTTTTAAAAAACATAAAAATATACTGTAGGAAAATATGCTGAGGATCACAGCCTCAGACTATAATCATGGTTAAAAATATGTAAATATGCATACATGTATTGTAGGACATTATTTCATTCACAAGAAATTAAGAATATCAGGCAACTAATGTTACATTGTGAGCCTAGACACTGGGAGAAGAAAGCAATAGTAGCGTGTGGTAGCAAAAATGCGGTGCTTTATCCTAATTTAAATCCTACAAGCACACTCCAGTCACTCTACGCATATGATGAAGTTTGTTCCTATATCTCATAAAAGTATGACATTTGTTAGTCAGAAAAGATGCTACAACACTCTTTCTAACTGTGAGTATAAAGCACCTTTTTCCATTCTAGTGTCCCCCAGCTCTCAGAATTCCTAGCCAGTCTTTTTAATTTTGGAAATTACAATCCCAATATAATTAGATGAAGCCAAATTAGGGATGCTGGCTTTGTATCCCTTGCTATTATTATTTTTTTTGTCAGAATAATATGTAGGGGCACAATAAATAATATTACCATCATTATTGCAACATTATAACAATACATCACCCTATCTAGCTGACTGGATTGGAGAAGATTGTAACACTTGTACAAACAAGATTGTTTTTCAAACTTGGCAACTTTAACAAAATTGGCATGCTGGCTGGGGAATTCTTTGAGTTAAAAGTCCACTGATCTTAAAATTGTCAAGTTTGAAAAATACTGATATCCAGTTAGCCTCTGTTTAATTACTTTCATTGAAGAAGACTCTGCTATTTTTCAAGACAGACTCTATTCTATTGTCACTCACAATGCCCAGTAAGCACTATTGAGCAAAGCCATACATTTCTAAATAGACATGTAGGGTTTAGTTTAGAAGTGTCTCTTTTAGAACCTGGTTTTTTTAGTGAAGGAAAAAAGAAGAATACAATTAGATGATAGTATTGTATGCTAAGATTGGATTGTTAAGAATTAGATGTTGTTAATTATTGTTATAATTAAACACTGTTATCTTCCCACATTCTCTTACAATTTTTTAATGGCATAGGTTGTTGGGTTTTTTTGCCTGTGTTGTAAAACAAAAATTGTAAAACTTTTATCCAGTTTCATGTTCCAGAATGCATTGTCTATTGATAAAAAACTACTTTTTAAACAGTTAGCCAGTTACCACCTCTTTTTTAACTAGTGATTGAGGCTGCTATTCAAGCCAGGGAAAAGACATGGGTGCTTTAATTATTTGAAAAGTGAGTGATGCTTTATATGGGCATCCATATGTTCTGAATGAATTCATTCAAAGGATTTTCACAGTACTAATAAAAACTCTCCATTGCTAGCAAACTCAAACAAATTTGGCTGATCTCTGTGAGTGAGATTTTCAGATTTACAGCCTAGCTTAATCAGAGAAACCCAGCTGCCTTAGCTGATTTGACAGAGCTTCTTCTCTGTCTCCTCTCCTATTTAGAAATGCTATAATCTGTTTAAGTCCCATGTCATAATGAAGATTATGAGATACAGTACGTCAGTGTTCTGTGCATGACAGCAAGGGTTCTCAGTTGTGAGCTGGGAGTGACATTGAAGCAAAGTATTGCCTTCCTTGAAAAACATTCTAATTTTATGGTTTCACAGTGGCTTGGTTCAGCACTCCTTTTTTACTTTTATGTAGAAATTTAGAAATACCTACTCAAATTTCTACTTTAGAAATATCTACTCATATAACTAACAGCAAAAAGACACAAAATGCAAAGACAAAGAAATTAAACTAACATTTTTGAGAAACATAGCAGAACTATTTCTGTTGGGACTAGACTTTGATTTAGAAAGCTTTGTACTTATTGACAGTTCATTCTGCTTTCATTTGAAACTTGTAACAGATAAATGTATTCTTCTCCCAGCAGACTGCGGAGTGGGTCAGGAGTGGGATGATCCCAGATGGTCTGACTGGATACTGAGTCTAATTGAGCTGGCCACGCCTCCTCACATGTGCCCTGCTTCCAGTTTCTTCGACTCAGTGGATCTGGCCAGACGTGTTCTGAGTTATCTCACTCCTCACTCCAGCCTTCATCTTCTTCCTTTTTGCTTCAATTCGACTGTGATTTCTCCTTATTGCTGTGCGTGCTGGCCATTCCAGTTTAGGCTGGAAACACCGCCACCGCGCCGCCGCCGCACCACCACCGCCTCACAGCTGAGAGGCTTTCAGGTCTAGCGGCTTCTTCTAGCGGCTCCGCTGACCCTCTCCGCTATCGCCGCCGCCTTTGTTCTCCCATCTTCGACCGACACCCAGCTGACGGAGAACAGCAGTGAGGAGGATCACAGCAGCTTGGAGAGTTCCACTCGCCGCTTTAACCTGTGCCGCTTCGCTGCTGCCGCAACAGTTACTACGCCCCTCCAGCCAGCAACCAAGCTCGCTGAGGGTCTCTTTCAGGTATTAGGGCTTTTGCGGAGACAGCGGTTGGCGCTTGCTTTCAGTGATCAGGAGGCGGCCATTTGCATCGTGGCCGTTTTCCCCTCGCGCGTCAGCCATTTTAGGGATCGGAAGCGGCTATCTTGGGATTCCCTCTTTCAGCTGCGGCCATCGTTTGACACGGAGCTGCTGAATTTCACAGCTTCCTCTGCCCTTCCCAGCAGAACTAGACCAGCAGGACTTTCTATTCGGCTGCAGAGCCTTCATTAATTCCTGCAAAAAAAGAAAAAAAATGGACCAGAGTCTCAACACCTTTGTGTGTAATGGCGGATCAACCTAAAGATAGTTCTACTAAATCTGGCCAAAAGGCCACTTCTAAGTCATCTTCCGGAAGGAAGGCCCATCAGCCTTCTCAGACTAAACTAAAGGACCTCCAGCGGCGCCACAAAGCCCTGGAGCGTCAAATTTTACAGGCTGAAAGGGAGAGAGCAGGTCAGGACTGTCCTTCGATTCAGGCCACCCTTGGGTCTCCTGACCAGACAGAGGATGAAGATCTTGACCTCTCCCGGGCGCTGTCTCCAGAAGAATCAGATCAGCCTTCCGTGGCTGATTCTCCTCCCGCCACTATTTATCTCTTGGTGTTCAGCGCACAAGATTAATCCTGTTTCAGCATCTGTCCCACAGGTCCTGGATTTCCTGCACGCTGGGCTCCGCAAGGGTCTAGCGCTCAATACACTCAAACAACATGTTGCCGCCCTGTCCACAATTTTGTCTCCCAGGGACGGCCCCCCCCTCTCCCACCACCCCTCTAGCCACTGGTTCCTTAGGGGAGTACGCAACATTCGCCCGCCCGTAGTACATCGGTACCCATCCTGGGACCTTCCACGGGTGCTACAGGCCCTTACAAGCCTCAGGTTCCTCACCTTCAAGGTGGCCTTTTTAGTGGCCGTGACTTCGGCCAGACGCATCTCCGAGCTCGTGGCCCTTTCCACTCGGCCTGATCTCTGTGTCATTCATCCCAACAGGGTTGTCTTTAGATTAGATCCCTCGTTTGTCCCCAAAGTGAACTCCCGCTTTCACAGGGAACAAGAGGTCATTCTACCTAATTTCTGTCCGAGACCCTGTCATCCATTGGAATGTAAATGGCACACCCTAGACATCCGCAGAGCTCTTAAGATCTATATTTCGTGGACAGCGCCTTCAAGGTGAACTGAGGCTCTATTCATTTCCTTTCAGCCAAGCTCCTTAGGCTCTAAGGTGTCTTCGGCCACTATCGGACGTTGGATCCGGGCCTGTATTGCCCGGGCCTATGAGGCGCAGGCCCTTCCCGCGCCCAGAAATATCACAGCGCACTCCACGCATAGTGCAGCTACCACCGCTGCTTGGGCCACGCAAGCTCCCCTAGACGAAATATGCAGGGCCGCCACCTGGACTATTCCGGTGCCGTTCATTAAACACTACCACCTGGATGTCTTTGCCTCCGCGGAAGCTTCTTTCGGCAGGAGAGTCCTCCAACAGGTGGATTTAGCCTCGGGGGCATCGTCCTCGCAGGCTTCCCACCCGTAAGGCGACCTAGCTTGGGCATATCACACTCCTGACCCACTCTGCAGCCTGCTGGGAGAAGAGGCATTGGACTTACCGTGAACGCCATTTCTCCGGGGGCTGCGGAGTGGGTCAGCCCCTCCCTGCCTGCAAGCCAAGGGGGCATTGTTATGACTGTCTGCCTGAGCTTGTCTTTCAGATCCATCTTCGTCTCATAAACTGGAAGCAGGGGACACGTGAGGAGACGTGGCCAGCTCAATTAGACTCAGTATCCGGTCAGACCATCTGGGATCATCCCACTCCTGACCCACTCCTGACCCAGTCCGCAGCCCCAGAGAAATGGCGTTCATGGTAAGTCCAACGCCTCATAATTTAGTTTTAGATGGTGGGCGATAGAAAACATACATACAAAGTCTTTAAGAAAAATATAAGGTAATTAGAACATCTTTTAAAATATATCTTAAAAATATTTAAAAGTTGTTTATCTTTTCCATTTCGATATAGATTAGGACTAATGTGCAAATTATGTTAGTTTCAATATATGCATTTAGGTGTTTGATGCATAGCTTCTTTGCAAAATGCATAAGTATATATTTAATCCATTTTTAGTCTGCTTGTCATATCAGAAACATCTCAAAATTGTATACCTAAGGAAAAAGTTTACAAATCAGAGGTGTTATTTAGCAGGTTCTGACTAGTACTGGAGAACCGGGAGCGAAAATTTTGAGTAGTCCGGAGAACCAGTAAATACCATCTCTGACTGGCTCCGCCCCCATCTATTCTCTGCCTCTCAAGTCCCAGCTGATCGAGAGGAGATGGAGATTTTGCAGTATCCTTCCCCTGGAGTGGGGAGGGAATGGAGATTTTATAGTAACCTTACCCTGCCATGCCCACCAAGCCACATCCACCAAGCCACGCCCACAGAACCAGTGGTAAAATTTTTTGAATCCCACCACTGTTTTGACCATGTATTCATTATATTCCTGCTAATTTTTAAAATTACAGCTATGTAGTAAATCAATCTTTTTAAAAGTACAAACTAAACACACACACACACACACACACACACACACACACACATAATACTTATCAATAGTCATTGACTTAGCAATGAATTCACTACTATTAAAAAAATAGAAGATGTTATTGTAAGACATCCTAGAATCTCTGCTATAGTAACTCATATTGCTGCATCATTTGATTAGTTGAAAATACTGCCTTTCCCAAATGTGTGGTCCCCAGATGGACCACACATTTCCAACAACCATTTGCTGACACTTGGAATAATATCATTTTCCAATTTCTTAGTATAATTTTATTTTGCCACTGTTTATGATTGAGAGAACTCCAATTCCTGATTAACAGTCAAATACCAAACTTTGCAAATAGTCAATATTACATTAACATTTAAAGATTTTTCCATAAATCTCTAGACATTAATATATAATTCCAAAAGAAATATTAAATTATCACATGACCGTATCATATGGCTCAAGAAAGCCCTCAAATTTCTTAGACCTCTGTCATTAAAAACCTGATGTTTATCCTTTCAGATACATTCCTAATCATAACCTTTTGTTGCCTTATGTGCCTTATCTGCAGCCAATACAGGAATGTTCAACATTTTTAGATTATTTATCGTTTTTATTCTTAAATTTTATGCTTTAGTTTCTCTTTTGGAGCAATACTCTATGTGACCTTCTGTGTGAAGCTTACCTGATTGGTTGGACTCTACTTATAACCAAAATATTATGACCCTTTGGGCCTCTTGTTAATAAATCCTTCATCTTCTCTTGTGGCATATTTCCAACTATAGATTGAAAGTTTAAGATACATTTTTTTCCTTTCTCTTCTTCTACTCTATTTGGCAGTAATAGTTTTATATCAATAATCCTATGTACTATATTATTAGGACCAATTCAGTCAAAAAGAAGGATAAATTTTGACCAACTCTTTCTCATCATTCATATAACTATATTGTATATAGACCAGTATTTATAGTTATAAAGGTACAGGTAAACTTTTCATAACTCCTTATAAATGAGAAATCATTTGTCCCTTCTGTAGATCATTGTTCTTGACAGTAAATTGGCAAATATTGCAATTCAAGCTGTCATTGTTGATCCTATTATATTATATTACAGTATATAGATTCTTTTCTACATTTTTAATGTTGGCTTATCTCTGAAATACATCTTCCCCATTATAATTGCTTGTCTTTTGTGATCTGAACCAAATAACTTCTGACTGAAAATTTAGAATAATTTCTGCATAGGTTTTTTTTTTTTTTGAATTGGTTTTGAAACTTGGAACAAGCAAAGCTTTTCAACCAGTATTAATGCCATTCTAAAAGGCATTCATAATCTTTCCAGAGCACATTTTGTAATAGTGTTGAATAATTTGCATGACAAAAAGTGACTTTGCCATATATAAAAGACATTGTTCAATGTTGATTGCAGCCATTAAACTCAAATGCACTAATGCTCTTTCTTATACATGCACCAAGTTACTTCTTTATGCCCATACTACTACCAAAACTTTCTCTCTACATCTCTCTTTTTCGTTTGTCTTTTAATCACCACTTTTGGCATTAATTTTTCTGTTGGTTACTGCCTAACTGCTGCAGTTGGGAGATTAAAAACACTGAAAGTGTAACTATCATACTTGTATTAACCAACTGTGTTATTTAAAGTTCCTAAAATATTTGTCATGTTGTCAAATATCACAACTTCTAAAACTGAACTATAACTGTGACTGTTAAATATCCAAAATACTTTTATGCTAGACTGCTATCCAAACTTTCTGACATTGTGATACTCAGCAAAAACAACATTTGGAAATCCTTTGAGCCATAATATCTGAATAAATTCTAGGGTATTATACATTGACATTCTAGAGATTTATAATTAGAAATTCTTTGTAGCAGTATTATATTTATCAATTAAGAAAGTCTTACTTAAGATGCAAGTTAAATATCACTGGGGGAAGTAAGTTAGAAGGAAATTCTGGAATCTGAATTAAATATAATTCTGAATAATATTTTTCAGAGTTTGCAAAAACAGTAGCTTGGGACAACTGTAGCTAGAAGTACTTTATCCACTTTAGACAGGGTGTGCTACTTGCGATATTTCCAGAAAACTGAGTCCTAGAGATTGGATCATTGTAGAGCAGTGTTTCTCAAACTTGGCAACTTTAAGATATATGGACTTCAGTTCCCAGAATTCCTCAGACAGTCATGCTGTCACCATCCTTCCTGACCCTATGCTGGCTGGGAAATTCTGAGAACTGAAGCCCACATTTCTTAAAGTTGCCAAGGTTGAGAAACAGTATTGTAGAGTATTCTGCATAGACCTACATATAAACTGGCCTTAATCTAAGTAGTACATTTCATAGTAGTGAATTCATAGGGATGATAATGAAACATGGCTCCTTGGAAAGACATTTGGGCACATTTGAAGATTTTGCTACTTCAAATGGTGACATATCAGGACTTTCTTTGTTGTATGGCATTATTGCATTTTCTTTCAAGTTGTGTTGTAATAGTATTTGTAGACCACATTTTCAACAGAGCCATATATTAGCCAAATCAATCAGTCAGTTAGTTGTCATCTTTGAAGAAGGATAGGGAGTAGACTGTTTGGTGTGGGATGGCAAATAAAATTCCTGGTATCCTGGATGCAAATAATTTAAGGTTTTTAAAAATACCATAATCAATCCTTTCATTGACAACTAAAGATATGTGTCAATAGTTCCTAGATAATTCCTACAGAATTATGTCTCTTTCTCCATAGAAAGCTTTTTCTGGCCATCAACTTTGTATAGACAGAATGTATTTGCTTTAGCAATTAACAAAAAAAAAAAAAAAAACCAAACCCAACAAGTTTAACTCCTATAGGCAAAGAGATGAAAAGAAAAATATTATCTGTGAATTCTGCAGATTTTGTGGTTGCTAAACACAAGTATTAGTACTTGCGCCTTGAAACAGTTTCCAGAGAGAAATTCATGTTAGTCTATTTCAATATATCATCTTTTTGTGCCATTTTCTCCTTTCCAGAGTTGCAAGGCAGCAGCAGTGGTTACCTGGCAGTGTCTTATACTCTACAGACTTTATGCCTACTCAAGAGTGCCAAGGGCAATAAAAGGGTAGAAGGAGAATGTTGCTACCCTTCCAGACTACCATCTCCCTCAGTTACTTTAGGGTATCTGCAGCTGTAAAACTATTAAAGCTATTGAGCATAGCTTTAAGGGTAACCATGAGACATGGAACTTAATATTTAAAGTATGTGCTTACATATGTGCTTTAGAGGATTTGCATATGAGGAAGAAGTGAAAATCATGTATGTACTGTAATCTTTTCCAGACAAATATCAACTATTCCGGCAACTTTCAACTATGAAAGAATGCTTAATGAAGGGGGAATTATTGTAGCAAGAATGTTGACCAGCCGATGACCAGAAAATATCAGCACATTAGACCTTGTTGCAGTTCAAAGCCTCCTGGATATAACCCTGTTGATCTAGCATGTAGGAAGTTGATACATGTAGGAAGTTGAAATCACAATAAGTGCTCCTTGTGAAACTTGATTCCAACTGTGACTGCTAGAAAACTCATTGCAATCAGCGATTTGCTATACATCCAATACTAACCTCTGTATATTTTTATCTGAGGACCTTGTAAATAAAGATGACAGGGATTTCCAGAAGCTCCATGTTCCATAATTTCAGCATGATGTGAATTTAATAATTATGATCACTGTATTTTGAGATTAAGAAGTTCTTTGCAGCCTTATACAATCCACAGGTTATTTTTTTATTTTATTCGTATACTGTCTGTTCAAAATAAAGAATTAATATGAGGTCAGCTATATTTAGCATTTTATAAATATAGCTCAGCTAGAAATATAAATGAAGCTGCAATAATTTAGGTCAAAAAGACTATTGGATGCTCTATAAATGAAAAGATTTTGCTTATGGATATTTTTACAAACATTTTAGTGAAAAATAGAAAATTTTAATAAGGCACAAATAAATCATTTCTTATTATAAACTAAGATATACTTTGTGATTCTTTTTGTCATCTGTACTAAGGAAAATGTCCAAAATAGAATTAACATAATTTGCAAAGCTAAAAAAAAAAATCCAAATTGATATGAGATGCAAACTGTAATGATAGTATTGCTACCTTTAGTTTTGTTTGGTGTTGGGTTGAATTTGAGACCTGAATTATGTTTACTGCTGCTTTGTAAAGATATATATCTTATCCTTACTTCTAATGCTAATGCAGTTGATGGGGTTGGTAATTTCATATTACTTTGAGATCCTCATCCAGCAGTTCTCAGAGCTGAAGAGATTTCGGTTCCCATGCAGAAGGCAGGGCTTTTTTTCAAGCAACTCTTGGTAGCCTCTTCTAGCTCCCGAACCAGCCAAGTAAGATCTTTGAGGCTATGCGAAGAACCTCAACATAGAGGATTACATTATATTTTCCTCTTGTGAGAAAAATCATTCCTCCAAATCATCTCAAAGGAGCAAAGAACAGCCACTTGTATTACAGTACTGCATTTGGTGATAATAGTAAAAAAAACCCATTATTAAATATTTACATCTACAGTATATTATGCTAATCTATGGTTTGAATAAATTAATACCCTTTGTGTCTATATGTTAAACAAACTATAATTTACAAACCATAGTGACTAGATTCACATATGCTAAGCGAAAGATGAATAACTTTTGTTTGTGTGTGTGTGTTGCATGCACATATTGTATTTTTTACACTCTTATCATTGCAAATATTTTTAGGTCACAATGCTATAATTTCCTAAAACATTAGACTTACTGATGGTTGTTGGGATGTGAATACTACATTTCAATGATAGATACTTACCAACAGGTATCTTTTGCACGCGTAGCCAAATCATTTCATTTATGGTAGCTTAGATGCATTCAGATCAACTTGTCTTTGAATCTTTTAACACCCAAGCTTGCTTTTTCCCCGCTACTCCTAACACCCACACATTTCTGCACAGATGGAGAGATGTGATAGATCATGGAATTAGCAAACCCAAAGCTTTTTTTTCCTTGCTACATTTTTAATCTACTGAAGTCTAAGCACCCCCACCTCTGCAGTCCTTTGATCTACAATTTTATTCAAAGTGAAAGAAGTACTTAACAGGACATCTGTTCATAGCATGTGTTAGCTTTCAGCCCTGAGGTTGACCCTTCAAATGTTGATTCCTTACAAATAGAAAAGCTTAGTTAACATATGTTCATAATAGTTGGTTTATATACATCAACCTCCATTGTCTTATTTCTGGCAATAGAAATAATAGCAGTGCAGGGGTAGCTGATGTTTCTATGTGCCCATGTCTACTAAGAATTACAAACAAGGCTGTTGTCTATGTAGACCTCTTACCTACTCAGAACTGTGCCAGATCTGTAAAGATCTTTATAAGGAAAAATCTCCATTCCAAATTTAAAACATAATACGTAATAACTTTAACTTTGGCAATATTAACTATATTTTATAGTTTTTATTTTAAGTATAACTTTGGCAATATCAATTATTAGATCGGGCGAGTGAGGAGACAGGAGCCAGGTCGAAGTGAACAACAACTCTTTAATGTACAGTGAGAATCCAGCAACTTTACCATAGAACAGCTCTCCTTATATATCTACTTGCCAAGTGTGTTAGCCAATAATCATCGAGCTTTTTCCCGCTCTAATTTTCCCTCCAAAATTAGATACATAACACTCCTTCCCTCCCAGAAGGCATTTAGACAAATATTTACATACATAATCATGCAGGTGACTAGGGCGTTCCCTGATTCTAGTTGACCTGCGCAATTCAGTCTGAGGCGGGGATTTGGGCTGGTTGGAGGGACACTTTGTCTCTCCTAACCCAGCCAATGGAACCTCCTGGATTTTTTTATGGGCGTCGCACTCTTTGGATGGGCCTGGCTTCTCGAGGTGGCAGTGGACACCAAAGTCATCAGGTAAATCCTCCGGCCACTTTGGATTTGAGTTAGCTGTTGGATGAATGATTAGTGAATCAGGGACTGGTTTGTCTGTTTTATAACCTGGCTCGTCGGGCATTGTTTGGCCTAGACGTTTTCTTAACTGGTCAATATGTCTGCGCCATACCCTTCCATTACCGACTTCGACAATGTATGATCTGGGCCCGGTAATGTCAGAGATCTGTCCAGCTACCCAGACGGGGCCGTCGGTGTAATTCCTTGCAAAGACTGGGGACCCAATAGAGAAACTTGTAGTCTTACTTTTGGCTTCCATGTACCCCTCAGGGGAGTAATTGGGGTGTAGCCTATCTAGGGTGCAGCAGAGTCTCCGGCCCATTAAAAGCTCTGCGGGACTTTGTCCCATTGCCATGCACAGGGTAACATGTTGGGCTGCCAGGAAGGTATCAATCCTGGCTTGCCAGTCCCCCGGCCTGAGTCTTCTTTGGCTGATCTCATGAATCTTTCCACTTGACCATTACTGGCCGGATGAAAAGGTGCTGTGAGTGCGTGACAGACCCCTATCTCTGCTAGGGACCCCTCGAATTGAGTAGCCGTGAGTTGAGGCCCATTGTCTGACACCAGGGTGTCCGGTAGCCCATGCGTGGTGAATAGTTTCCGGAGCGCTTTAATTATAGCCTCCGCAGTGGTGGAGTGCATTAATTTTATCTCCAGCCACTTAGAATAAGCATCCACCACGATTAGAAAGGTTTGACCATGGAATGGGCCAGTAAAATTGATATGAATGCAGGACCATGGTCCCCGGGGCCTTTCCCACTGTTTGGATGGGGCCATGGGGGGAGTGGGGGGAGATTCTTGACAGGGGGTACACTTGGCCACCCATTCAGCAATGCTGTCGTCCATACTGGACCACCATACATAGCTCCTCACCAATCTCTTCATCCTCACAATTCCCGGTGCCCAATATGCAATGTGGTCAACACTTGTTCCCTTAGACACTGGGGAACAACCACCCTGTCACCCCATAGCAAACAACCGCCTTGCATAGACAGCTCGTGTTGTTTACAGATAAACGGTTTAAATTATCCACCAACGGGGTCTTTCGGCTACCCCCTATGCACCCAGCCAATAACAGTTCACAACACAGAGTCTTTAGCAGAGGCCCTTGCAACTTCAGCAGAAGTGATAGGACCAGAGTCCATAGAGTCAATAAGCAGAATAGGAATGCCTGTAGTCGGGTCCTTCAGCAAGTCTGGCAGCGGGCACCGACTGAGGGTGCCAGGCGATGGATGAGTTGATAAGAGTAGGCAGCCAAAAAAATAGCCCACCTAGTCAGACTGGGGAACATGGCTGCCGGAGTGGGGTGATCTCCAGCCAAAAGTCTTAGCAGGAGTTGATGATCAGTAACAAGTTCAAAAGTTTTTCCAAACAGATACTCATGAAACTTCTTAACCTCCGTAACAGCCGCCAGGGCCTCCCTGTCCAGCTGGCTGTAATTTCTCTCAGCACTGGATAGGATATGGGAGAAATAGGCGATGGGGACTTCTAGTCCATTCGGCAGTCTATGACTCAAAACAGCCCACACGCCAAAAGGGGAGGCATCGCAGACTAAGACAAGGGGAAGCAGTTCATTGTGTTGGATGAGGAGGCTGTCCGCTGAGAGGAGTCTCTTGACAGCTACAAACGCCTCGGTTTATGCCCTACCCCAAACCCACAGGGATTTTTTTGCTAACAATTTGTGGAGTGGTTCAGCCACTGTGGCTTTGTCCTTTAAGAAAATCAAATAAAAGTTTAAAAGTCCCAGGAATAACTGTAGCTCCGCCCTGTTCTATGGGGTTGGCACATTGTGGATAGCTCTGATTTTACTTTCCGTGGGGTGTATGCCTGCCCCATCAACCTTGTACCCTAAAAATTCAACAGCAGGCGCTGCTATTTGCTATTTGTCTTTTTTAACTCGCAGTCCCGTGTTTCTAAAAATAGTCAGCACCCGCCTTAGATGGTCCCCTAGTTGTTGCTCGTCTGCTGCAGTGACAAGAATGTCATCAAAATAGGGGATGACCCCCGATAGTTCTTGCAGCAGACGTTCCATCACGCTTTGGAATAGTCCAGGGGAAACACTAACCCCGAACTGTAGTCTTGTGCATTTGAAGGCACCTCTATGTGTTACTATAGTCTGTGCTTCTGCGGTAGCACCATCTACCAGCAGTTGCTGGTACGCCTGCGCAAAGTCGAGTTTAGTGAAAACTTTGCCGGGGCCCAAGGAATGGAGTAGGTGCTGCAAAATGGGGACAGGATAGGCGCTTTGCTTGAGGGCTTTGTTTAGGGTACACTTATAGTTGGCACAGATGTGCACTGACCCATCAGATTTGAGAGGGGTGACTATCGGGGTCTCCCATTTTGCATGGTCGACCGGTATTAGAATGCCCTGCCGTATGAGCTTATCCAGCTCCTGATCTATTTTAGGCTTAAGCGCAAATGGCACTTTCCTTGCCCTCATTCTTATGGGGGCTATATTAGGGTCCAGGTTAAAAGAAATAGGGGTCCCCACATACTTTCCAAGATGGTCATCAAAAGCATCCTGGAATTCGCGGAGTAGGTCATCCATCAGGCTGCCGCTAGTAGAGTGGATTCTGGTGACCCCCGTGGCCAGGGCTTTGAACCAGTTGAGTCCTAGGAGGCTTGGTAGACGTCTGCTGACCACGGTGATGGGCAGCCACTTGTTGAAATGGCTG